TTTGTATATTGCCCAGTCTCAGGTATGTGTTTATCAGCAGTGTGAAAATAGACTAACAAAGTAAATTGGTACCAGAAATGCGGTGCTGCCCAAAAATGTGGAAGCAACTTTGGAACTGGGTAACAGGCAGAGGTTGGAACAGTATGGAGGGCTCAGAAGAAGACAGGAAAATGTGGGAAAGTTTGGAGCTTCCTAGAGACTTACCGAATGGTTTTGACAAAAATGTTACAGTGATATTGACAATAAGGTCCAGGCGTAGGTGGTCTCAGATGGAGATGAGAAACTTGCTGGGAACTGGAACAAAGGTGACTCTTGTTATGTTTTAGCAAAGAGGCTGGTGGCATTTTGCCCCTGCCCTAGAGATCTGTGGAACTTTGAACTTGAGAGAGATGATTTAGGGTATCAGGCAGAAGAGATTTCTAGGCAGCAAAACATTCAAGAGGCGACTTGTGTGCTGTTAAAGGCATTCAGTTTTAAAAGGGAAACAGAGCATAAAAGTTTGGAAAAATTTGCAGACTGACAGTGTTATAGAAAAGGTAATCCCATTTTCTGAGGAGAAATTCAAGCTGGCTGAAGAAATGTACATACGTAATGAGGAGCCAAATGTTAAATATCAAGACAATGGTGAAAATGTCTCCAGGCAGCCCCTCCCATTACAGGCCTGGAGGCCTAGGAAGAAAAAGTGGTTTTGTGGGCCAGGTTCAGGGTCCCCATGCTGTGTACAATCTAGGGACTTGGTACCCTGTGTCCCAGCTGCTCTAGCCACAACTAAAATGGTACAAGGTATAGCTTGGACTATTGCTTCAGAGGGTGGAAGCTCCAAGCCTTGGCAGCTTCCATGTGGTGTTGAGCCTGTGGGTGTGCAGAAGTCAATAACTGAGGTTTGGGAACCCCTGCCTAGATTTCAGAAGATGTATGGAAATGCCTGGATGTCCAGACAAAAGTTTGCTGCAGGGATGGGTCCCTCATGGAAAATGTCTGCTAGGGCAGTGCAGAAGGGAAATATGAGGTCAGAGTCCCACAGAATCCATATGGGGCACTGCCTAGTGAAGCTATGAGAAGAGGGCCACCATCTTCTGGATCCCAGAATGGCAGATCCACCAACAGCCTGCACTGTGTGACTGGAAAAGCTGCAGACACTCAATGACAGCCCATGAAAGCAGATGCGAGGGAGGCTATACCCCGCAAAGCCTCAAGGATGGAGCTGCCCAAGACCAGGGAATCCACCTCTTGCATCAGTGTGACCCAGACACAAGACATGGAGTAAAAGGAGATCATTTTGGAACCTTAAGATTTGACTGCCCTCCTGTATTTTGGTCTTGGATGGGGTCTGTAGCCCCTTTGTTTTGGCCAATTTCTCCCATTAGAACGGCAGTATTTACTCAATGCCTGTATCCCCCATTGTATCTAGGGAGTAACTAACTTGCTTTTGATTTTATAGGCTCACAGGTGGAAGGGATTTGCCTTATCTCAGATGAGATGATGGACTGTGGACTTTTGAATTAATGGTGACATGAGTTAAGACTTTGGGGGACTGTTGGAAAGGTGTGATTGGTTTTCAAATGTGAGGACATGAGATATGGGAGGGGCCAGGGTGGAATAATATGGTTTGGCTGTGTCCCCACCCAAATATCATCTTGAATTGTAACTCCCACAATTCTGATGCATCATGGGAGGAACCTGGTGGGAGGTGATTGAATTATGGGAGCAGGTCTTTCTTGGGCTGTTCTTGTGATAGTGAATGAATTTCACAAGATCCGATGACTTTAAAAATTGGAGCTTTTCTGCACACTCTCTTTGCCTACTGCCATCTACGTAAGATGTGATTTGTTCCTCCTTGCTTCCCACCACGATTGTGAGGTTTCCCCAGCCATGTGGAACTGTGAATCCAGCTAAACCTATTTCTTTTGTAAATTGCCCAGTCTCAGGTATGTGTTCATCAGCAGAGTGAAAATGAACTAATACATGCCCTGACACCACAGTAGACTTAGCTCAAACACTTGTTCCAACACATCCCGCCTCCGTAGCAGTACACAGTGACACTGCTGATTTTAAGTTGCTCCCCTGCAAGGTAAATCTAAGAGGGACTAAAATGTGTTTAACATAGTTTTAGCTTTCAGAATGTTGCTTTGCATTCTAAAGCTTTAGCCATTATTAAATGTTACAATGATAGGCATCCATTAACTATAATATTGTATTAACAACAAGACTTCTTACTCTAATCATTCTAGAAAAATAAGAGTTTACTTTAATGAGCAAATCAATGATGAGTATTTTGTAGCAGTAGGCTTCCTAAACTTCCTTTGGCTCTGTGCATATTTCTCTAGCTCTTCCATCCCCACCACAGTCTAAAATACTAGACCACCTTTTCCCCAACCACGTGAGAGTCTCCTACCTGCTCTTCCTACAGACACTATTGGGCAACTCTAATCCATTCAGTACCTTATGTCCAGCTTTACAAAGTGCACATCCAATCATGTCACTCCACATGTCACTCCACCTTTCAAAGACTTCCTATTGTGTTTACAAAGATCAAATACAGAGCCTTCTGGTCTAGTCCTTGCCTCTCTGATGTGCCTCTCTGCTTTGTCACTATCCTGCCCTTTCACTGTTCTCAGGATATATGAGTTTTCTTTTAACACCTTGAACATACACTGTAATTACCAACTACAGCAAATTTTTTGCACGTGAAATGCCCACTATCTCAAATATTCTTCTTCCTACTCTTACTCCCATCTTTCATCTAGTCAATTCCTATTGATCCTTCGGATTTCAGCTTAGAAATCATGCTTTTGGTAACACGTTCTCAACATCACAAGGTAATTTTTATATAGCAATATGTTTAATTAGCCTACCTCCCCTACTAGAATATAAGTTCTATGAGGCAGAGGGACCACACCAAGATTTTTGGTGGAATGACAAATACCAAAGAGAGAAAAAATTAGATATAATGTAATTTGCCTCCATACTATCTGAGCTCCTTTTGCATTCACTGAATCATTTCTTTAAGTTGTCTAAATTCTACATGCTTCTTTTAATAAAGCATATACTTCTAACAACAAAGCCTCTCTTGGAAGATTCCAAAATGAGTCACCAATAAAAACCATTAAGTGAATTTCCATAGCATCCTAAGAGGTTTTGGCACAAGCCTGGGCAATAAGCAATTGTTGGTAGAGATTCATGCGCTGTGTATCAATGCCTTTTAATTTAAATTTTCTTTTTGGGAGGTGTTTAATATAATTAAACGTGCTGAAATCTGTTCTGAATTTACATTATTTAAAATCAGTCTTAAAAGCCAGTGATTCATGAAGAACACTGAGTTGATGATGGTTTACAACATTTTTCCCTCCTGACAGAGGACCCATGCTGGGAAAAATAAAACATCCCAATTCTCATTAATGGAAACAGAGCTGAACAGACAACTGTAGCTGTTGAAGGTTATTGAAACTGCCAGGAAATTCTAAAAGCAAAACCAAGGTTGGGCTGGCAGATCAATGTGCCTTTTATGTACAATCCTGAAATATAAAACCATGGAATTTCTAATGTTAATGGATACTTTTGTCAATATTTATTTAGGCACTTTTATGTTGTATATTATAGAAGAGATTAAATAGAGAAATACTCACTTTATAGAGCTAGATCCCAATAAAGATATATTTATATGCTACCTACTCATTTTCCAATTTTTGGAGATACACTTGAGGCTTATTATTTTACTGACTAAATAAATAACAAGCCTGCATATTTCCTTTGTTACGAGACAATGAACCTGAATGAAATTTGCTGAACTGTTTAATACATATTTATGCCAGAGGCATCTCAGATTGGATTAGGCCATCCCCAAAGCCCCTTTCTCCATCTAACAATCCATTAATCTACCAATCATTAAGCACCTATCATGTAACAATTTTTTTTTTTTCACTTCACAAGCCAGTGGAAGAGCGTGGAGGATAAGCAGTAAACAACTCTCCCCTGCAGATAAGTACAGACGTTCTTAAAATACACCTGCAGAGAGTGCCCACCTTGGTACCTCATTTGGTGAGTAATATGAAACTGCTTTCCACCCCAGCTCAGATATATTCAGCAATTTCCTCCCCAGATATCTACAACTGCAAGACCAATAGCTTCAGTTAAGCCATTTGCTCTGCTCTACTCAAAAACATTCCAAGCCTTCTAATTTCTACTGGAGTGTTGGCCCCATGGGGCTTCTGCACATTAAGGAGTTTCATCAACACCACAGGGTATATTCAAGATCTTAAAGAATGTCATGTAATTATCTAAAAAGACAATTTATATTCACTTGAGCTTAAAAGTTAAATTCATTACAGAGTACACTAAGGTATATATTATAGAATAAGAGGTATGACTGCAAGCTCTTTGAAGGAAGCTGGTATTTTTATACAAAACAGGCCATTGACAAATGTTTGTTGAACTGTTGAGCTAACTGTGAAAAGTTCAACTTATCTCATAAAAAGATAAAAGTTTCTGAGCTAGAGTGTTGGTATTTATTCTGAAATCAAAGGAGCCAAAGAATCAAGGTGAACTGCTTGTTCTTACATAGGCTCTAAAAGTTCTTCTGGCCATCTATGGTAAATCTACAGGGGACAAGGATCTGTGAAGAATGCCAACATTCAGCAAAGCTGTGAAGAAGATAAGGTGCCTGTGCATCCCTTTAAATTCCCTGTTCGGTTCTCAGTTAGATACCTCCCTTGCTCCATTTCATTCATGCAATAATATGCATTTATGGAGTACCTACTATCTGTCAGGTACAGTGTTCTAAAGTGCTTGGGATATATCACTGATAAAAAGCCAAAACTGACATTCTACCTCATTTATCTATTCAAGCCCTTTTTAACAAGTGATCACACTGCACCTGGAACTATGTTCAGCATTTGGAATAGTGACATATAAACTTAACATGGCATCTGTCCAAAAGTGAAGCTGCTTACAAATACGACAAAATTAGAAATCAGAGACTGTTCAGGTACAATTTTTCTTACCTTGTAATGAATTGAAGATGGAAAAGAGGTAGAGGAAGGGGATGTTTAAGGGTCCCCAGGCAAAGAATGCAAAACCCCATGTCATTCCCAACAGAAACGTCAAGCTAACCACACTGCGCAGGTTTCTTAACACTTCTTCTCTCAGGGTCTGGTTGCTTCTCTTGCCATTCCTCCCACAGATCTGTACCATTACTACAATGAACATGGCAATGTTCAGAAAAAACATGATTCCAAAATACCCAGCACAGGTCACATAAAATATGACTGGATCCCGAATCCAACAGCTTAAAAAGAAGAAATGAGAGAGAAAAAAAGAGATTTATTGCCATGTCCTATTTACCTAAGACTTTTCTCTGCTTAGTTTGGACTACTGCAGATTTTCCTCTCAAATGCCTTTAGAAAGTCATTTTACTTCCTTGGACCTCGGTTTCTTCTTAACTCTTCATAGGTTTTGTGTTCATTTGTTTTTGGATGGCCACCATCTTAATATCTAGGTAAGCCAACATTACAAAGACAACAAGGCGGCTTCCTGAATTCTAAGTTGATATGAAAACATGCTTGGTTGACTCACTCTAAGCCATGTCTAACCTCCTTTTCTCTTGGGTGCCTGTATACTAAGTATGGGAATTTTAAAAACTCCCAGCACTTTGGGAGGCCAGGGTGGGTGGATCACCTGAGGTCAGAAGCTGGTCTCAAACTCTGACCTCAGGTGATCCACCCTCCTTGGCCTCCCAAAGTGCTGGGATTACAGGCATGAGTCACCGCTCCCAGCCAATGTAAATGTTAACCATCCATGAAATGCGCATAGACACGTGGCATCATTAGTCCCATTTCAGAAATATGCTCTTTATTCATTCAGTAATTTTTTAAATCAACATTTATTTATTGACTACTCATGGTGGGATTGATAAAACATGAGAGCACTAACTGTCCAACTGACCAATATAAAAAACCTTAATCTCAACGATCTCATAGTCTGAAGAGAACTTTCAAAATTGTTTAAGAACTTGCTGATTTCTCCATTCTCTAAATTTCTACATAACACTCCCATTGGCATTGAATTGTTCACTGTCTGATAATGCTATTTAACTCTCTTGAAGATGTGGGTAGGTTTGAGGAGGTGAGAGTGTTATGAAATCTCCTGAAATAGAATGGGTCTTCTGAGGCTAAAAAATAGTGTCGTAGGCATTTTCTCAATTCCTTCATATAACAGAGTACAATGTTAATAGGAAAAAGAGTCTCAAACATTTCAGGGCATTCAACTAAATTAATCTGTGGTGTAGCAGAGACTTTGGCTATCATGTGAATAAACACCAATGTTTTAAAATGAAAGCCTTGTCACTGGCATGGAAATTAGCTAATGCTAAACGTTAGGAAACAAAGGCTATCTACCCATCAGAAATATTTTTTATTACTTACAATTCATCACCTTTCTCTTTTCCGTAACTTTCTTTTCCATAGACTTGATTTTTGTTTCTGCTCGCTAGAATAATTGACACCACTAAGGCAGGCAAACCTGTTATAAAACACCACGACACAAACTCTTTTGAAGCATCTGAAACTGCTTCATAAGACTGATAATGACAAGTAAAGAAAAGAGATGAAAAGAAGAGAAATGCAAGCAAGCCAACGTTTCATATCCCAGATTCAAACTTCTTAGAAATGGCAACTTGGTTAACAACAACAAAATCCCCTCCTTGGGGTTCAATGTCCAGCTCTAACTGGCAACAATCCAAACCTACTCTTAAAGGACAGATATTTAAATAAAATTCTGTTTGCATAGTGGGACTCACTAGAAAACTAGAACCTGATTTGTATCAAATCTAGCACTAGTGAATGTGGTTTCAATAATTAAGCCTTATTACACTGCCAGAGTTTAGGCAGACAAGTCATTACAGCCTATTTTGCCTCCTTCTATATAAAGAAAACTCTAGAAAAAGTGGAGGAAAAGCAAGGGGGCTATAAAGCCTTTGTTGCCTTCACTGGCTTCACTCCCCAGAGACTGAATAAAGTATTTTCCAAGAATATCTCAGTGGGGAAATGTTATGACAGGTAACCTAGGTCCCTGAAGAGTGCACTTATTGCCTCCTAAGGTGGTGCTGAAAGTCCTGAAAATGTCTCTCACTTTTATATTTCCATCTGAAATAGATCTGTGAGAAAGCTCTAAAATGCTTGGCTCAATATTAAACCTGCAAAAACAAAGGAGCGCAATAGCAAATCTCAAACAGGCTAATACAAACACCTATGTCTGACTGAGGACTCATGTTATTATAAAAAGTTCAAGGCAGGAATTCTGTAAGTATTCTGGTTGCACACACAAAAATAACATTCTTTCTCTGGTTTCTAAGACAGGCATATGTCTGCGGATGAGTGTAACTAGCCGTCTGAGCTGGCCTTTGTATTTTAAAGCATCACGGAAAAGCACCACTGCCTGCCAGCTGCCTCTTCAGACTTGGGTGGGCTGGCTCTGGGCTCTCTGGGCTCAGGAAATAAGTTTGTGGTGACTCAGGAGTGAGGGCTTTTCCTTTACTCGTGTATGTAGTGAGTGCTGTTGAAGAGTTTCAAAAAATATAGTTGTGAAGATGTCCCTTCCTTAGGCTATGTATATCTAATTCACGTCATTCACAACTTTGAGGTTACTCTTAACAGTACTATCTTTTTTTTAAATAAGAATTTTTCTTATGAGAATCTGGCAATTTTCATGATGGAAAAACAAAACCAAAAAAATTTTAGGCGGCTTACCCCAGCCAATGATGCAGAATTTTAGAATGTATCGGCGAATGTAAGTGTTAAATACTTTAACTAGAGCAATGTACATGTGAATTGCTTCCAGCCCCATCCAGGTAAATGTTGCCAGAAGAAAGAAATGCAGCAGGGCTGCAATAGCAATGCAAAGTCCATCCACATTGAAGGAGGTGATCCAGCCATCTAGGAGGAAGAGGAGATTCAGGAACAGCAGGGCTGTGCTCAGGTTCATCAAGATTTTGGAGGGATAATCTCTTCGCAATTTCCTAAAAAATGAAAAAAGAAATCTATGGAAGAACTAATACTGTATATCAATCTTTTAAGCACAGGGCTGTATAAATTCATATCTTATACAACCCTGCAATAAGATAGATGGCACCGGCTTTCTGATGTGGTTCTGCTAAAGGTGGAGTGTTAGGGGGCAGGGGACTAAGGACACTTACGAGTATTTAGCAAGTTATAAAAACTTTTAAAATATTAATTTTACTTCAAAATTGTTTCCAATTGTTTATACAATTCCCAGTTGGGTTTCAACAGAATTTTTTTTAATCCCGGGAAAATTCTAAAGTTATAAGAATGGCATTTTTATTAAAAAATAATTTCCCTAAATTATTTGAACTTTCTTGATTCTTAATGAGTTAAGGACCTTAAGAAATTCTGTTTCTGGACTAATTTTACAAGATTATAAAACAAATTTTTCATGTTTTACAATACAGAAAGCACCTTACATAATTTTTACTTAAGTGTTAATCATTTCTAACACCTTTGAATGCATTTTATAAACAGAAATACGGTAATTATACATTAAAATTCTATAGCTGGAAAATCATGTTCCATAATATATTTTATGAGAATCATGAACATTAACATTTATCCACCCTACATGATTCACAAAGTGTATAAATGTTTTTCAAAGCTGAGGCAATTTTCTTATTCACATTTGGAACAGTTAGCAATGGATTTGGCAGATTAAAAAATACTTACTCAAAAGCAACATATGTCAGGAGAGTTACTGCTGAAAATATTGCAGATATTCCACACCCAATATAGGTGATCAAAGTGAGGACTTTAGTGTTTCTTGCATCTAACTGTGAGGAACTTCTTGAAAGGTCCTACATAAAACATGGCAAGCAGCTGTAAGAATCTCTCTTCTCATGAGAATGGTTGTTTCCCTAGAAAGTTCACTGTTAACATTAAAGCGGTTCACTCTCAGGGGCTAAAATCAACAGTGTAAATCAATATTAAAATTTTTATTTATTGTATTATTTTTGATCATTAAATAAAAGAAAAAAATGCAACATTACTTCCGGAAGTGATTACACATATTATTTTTTTACCTTCTTTCCAAAGCTCTTTGCACACTGGTATAACCTGAAGATCAAAACCACCAGGACCCCCAAAAGAAATTGGAGAGGAAGTGGTTGCTTTGCGTAATAAACCATCAGGCCCATTCCTAACATTTACAGGGCTGGGGGCACCCACCAGTTCAAATGGAGACCACGGTAGTCTATATGGCCAAACCCTCAAGCCTTTAGGTTCCTTGCCAGGTAGCGAGGGGCTCAGCCAGAGGCTGGTGCTGGTGCTGTGACTGCCAGGCTCCAAGGGTGGTGCTGAGATTCCTAACCCTGGTCATTGCAGTGCTTCATATGTATGAGGTGGGGCAGTCTTTATTTTCATAAATGAGATGCCACTAAGAGTTTTGGGGGTTATCTTTTTTTTATTTCCATAGTAATGAAAGGATACAATTTAAATTGTTCAGCGCTGTTGTGGAGTGGAAAGAACTAAATACTTTCCAGTGAATTAACATAAAGTATTAATTTCAATGTGCTAATGGAGACTTACAAAGTTTGGACCTGGTAGGAAAATCTTTTTCTCCTTAAATGGGGGATTGGTTTAGGAATAAATCTTGAAGTAAGACCAATCCCTCAATCCTGGTTGGAGGAGAAAGCTACATTCATTATGCAGATGTTCAAAAATTGAGTGTTCTTAGAGAAGAGATGTATTGAACATCTAGTGTAAACTTTTAGGTTTTAAATTATGGAGAAAATGTTTATGATTTTTCTTCTATACTTCCTTCTAAATTTTCTTTAATTTTCACCAAAATGCCAGTAAAATCTGCTACTCACACACAGGGCTTGAGAGACAGAGAGAGAGTGTGTATTTGTGTAAGTAACAAGGAACTGTGGGTTAGTTTCAGGTTTTACTGATGCAGTAAAGAACAGACACAGTATCTCTGCGACATCAAGAAATACACAAAGGGATGGAATTCCGCAGAGGCAGAGGCAGAGGCTCAGGGTCTGAGGGAGATTCCCCTATCTTCTTATCCCAGGGATCTCTCAAAACACTGGGAGAACACGGGGCTCCCAGGGCACATGGAATGGGATTTGAGTCAGTGCCACCTGACTCACAGATAGGCTACCTCAACCAATATTTTGTTTACTACAGGATTTTATTAGCCCAGAGAGATGAATCATGGTCTTGAGAGATTGCCAAGTGATGTGTCACAACCTCTTGAAAAACCTATGGTTGCTATCTAGGCAAGGCAGTTGACTTGCATATCACAATTAAACCCAGATTTTCAAATAGAAACTAAATAGGGCTGTTTACTGATACAGGTTCACACACAATTGCATGTTGTTTTGCTCTTTTAGAGAAGGAAAATATGAAAACATTTATATTACAATATAGCCAATATGAAAATGTACTAATCTTAAAAATATGAAAACCAGTTTTAGTACAAAGAAATGTAGCAGAAGACATTAAATTCTTAAGCCATTTGCAGATGAGAAGATATAATTATAGGTATGAGGTGCATTTTTTTGCTTTTCATATGGTGAATTGGTGAATGTGTCATGGTACATGCAGACTCTGGAAATATTTTATACAAAAGAATAAAGAGTTTCTGAGTCAAGAAAAACTCTTAACAAAGTCTTGGTGGTCTGGAAAAGCTAAAAACATAAGAGAAAATCACCAAAAAAGGTAAGTTCTAGGAAGATTTTCTACCAGCAATTTTTAATATTACAAAAACAGGCAAGGTGGAAAATGGAAAGATAGCATGAAAGATGCTTATTTTCACATATATATTCATAAAATTAACCATTCAATCAGATGGCAGCAGAAAAAAGAATACATAATTAAAAACTCGTAAAATTTAGACAATATACGAGGGAATTGGCCATGTGAAGTAGGGGGCAAGCAAACTCTGGCTGCATATAAATCATCTCTGAAGAGTACATTTTGTTACTGTTATCTACTTATTTAATATTAGACTTACAACATGCACATAGTTGAAATATTTTAATGAATTAAGCTAAATTTTACATATCTGAATGAGTAACCATGAAAAATAAGTGTTCTCTGAAAGAATGCCTGCTATCACTTCTGCAGAAAAGAGAACATGGAAGGTAACTGAATTTTCTTGCATAATTACTTAAGGAAAATATGCAATAGTGAATTGCTCATTTTCATGCTCTGACAGCAAAGACAAAATATTCATATTTTAGATAGTTAAAAAGGTGTCTTCTATGATTCATCACCTTTTTAAATGACTTGTTCTTATCCCTGGGAGCATTTATGTACTTGATTGTCAGGAAAATTACAACTTGCAGGGTTGCCATATGACAATGACCATTTACATAGGCTGAGTAGATTCACGAGCCAAATACTACATCCCACAGATCCTTGTGGCTTCCTCCCAGTCCCCACAGGAAGAAGGGTGCAAGATTTAAAGGCAGGGATAAACAAAACCTGACATCTGTGATTCTAATTTGAAAGCTTTATTGCCTCAGCTCACATTACTCCTATCTCCTATTAAAAAAACAAATGTGCTCCCTTTATGAAAACCATACAGAAACAAAGTCTATGCTAAAATCCGGGTTTATACCTTTAGCTTCTATCCGGTATACTTGTGATTTTGCAAACAGTTTTCTGTTGACCAGTTTTCTGGACAACATTCTGTATGGTTTTCATAAAGGGAGCACCGGATAAAAGCTAAAGGTATAAATCTATGGATGAATTCCAACAAGTCGTTGGATGTGTGGTGGTCTTAAAATTTGGTGGGATTAAAAAAACACGCAATGATGCAATCTAGTTTTTGTTTTAAATTGTGTGGCAAGCCGGCTAATAAGATAAATAAAACAGGGGTATGGGAGAAGGAAGGAAAGAATGATGATATGTAGAGGTCCAAAGGTGACAGAAACATCATACCTTCATCTATTACAGATCTGAAGCCTCCTTCTGACCCTAGTCACTAGTCTGTCTAACAAACTGCAATCTCGAGGAGGGAGGTCACTTGGTGCAGAACGAGGTACAAAATAATGTCGAAATATATTGAGTGAATGACAACATAAGGAAAAATTCTTTTTGGTTCCACTCTCCACAATTCCCTTCCATGTTAGTAACACCCAACACGTTCTTAACTTTCTCTCCCTCTCCGCACTTGTCTCCCTGTTTATCTCCTTGATGCTGTTGCTCTCTTAATTCTAGAATTTCATGGGGATTTTCTTGTTTCTGGGATTATTTATCATCATTGTTAATGCTACAGGAAAAAAAAAAGGGAGACAGTTCTTTTCCATAATTACTTTTACATACTTTTAAGATGTGATCTTTGCTAATTAGATTCTTTATTAAGATTCATGATACAGATGAAAACTATCAGGAAATAATTCCCAAAATAAATAATCTAAAAAGGTGGACTCACAAAAAAGGAATATGCCATCCAAAGTTATAGCATGCCCAAACGAGGTTAGAAATTCCCCCCTTACCATCAGAACTCCAAAGTGTGTGAAGTGGTTACACAGGCAGACCGTCTCATTTGCATCTGAATCTCTCTGTGCAACACATCCTGATGTGTTCCATCCTCCAAAACTTTCTGTTGAAGGAATCAACAAACAGTGTGAAAACAGCAGGTAGTGTCTTCTCTATAATGGATGAGAACTTCTATAGAGAAATTTGCCTCAGTCTCTTCTGCCATACAGAGTTTATATCTAAAACGGATACCATTATGAAAGCTTTCAATGCTTAGAATAATTTGGATTTCTGGAATCATCAAATGTTAGTTTGGGTAGACAGTTACAAGTGATCTAATCAGTGGGTTCAAACTCAGGAGGTCCACAAATGTTTGATCCAAGTGAATTTTTAACATATTTTTAAATGAACTTCTATAAAAAGAATATTCCTTTTCAAATACAGTACACAATAATGAACTCTTGGGGGCCAACAATCTTTTTCTGAGGGTTAATTTACATTTTCGTGAAGACATAAGAACAAAGAACATTTACTTTCTTAGAATGTCATTCAGCAGTCATGAATGGGGTAGCTTATTGTGAATGGCTTGGACATACCTTATCTGACTTTTATGGTATAAAATGGAGTATAAGCAACGCATATTGTCGAAATATTGAATCCATTTATTTAAATAATAGTTTAAGATACAAAGTAATACTTTTAACTACGTAAATGAGTAACGATCTTCTCCAAATTATGCAACTAAACCCCTCCACAAAAAACACCCGTCTTGCTGTGACAAGGACTATCAAAAAAATAAGTTTTTGCCCTTTTCAGGCTGTTTTCATCAACAAATCAACCGGCATTGATATCAGAATGAATCTGGCCACAGTAATCCTCACCAGGGATAGACAGAGAAGCATCTTTATTTGTACTTCCTTTCAAAGAGATTTCAACACCTTATGCCTACTGATTGACTCATTCCTTAACTTTGCCTTCCTTTCTTGACTGTCAAATCTAATTCAGAAGGCTGTTCTTCTCTTTCAAGTAATATATGTCCATTATAATCATTCCTATACTTACATTCCTTCAGTCAGCTTCTCACCTCCCTCATAACTGGAGGTCTGGAAGCTGGATTTTAAATTGTCTGCCTTAGATCAAGTAATCTCTTCAAATATGTGTTAGAAGAATGTGATTAAGTGCACGTCTACTTTCATCAAAAGTAGCAATAAAAATGTATGCTGTATTTTACAAGTAACTGATGTCAAAGAGGTTGTTCAACTGAAAAAAAAAAATGAAAGAAAACATAGTGAAGTCTGCCTATTTCTTCTTGCAGTGACTGAAAAGTTACAGAAATTAGAACTGACTTTCCAAGCTACCTAAACTAACTTTGCAGCTCATTTGCCATTTACACTTACATTGTGACTCACTCTGGTTTGGGGTGGAATTAAAGGAAACGGAGGTGTCTAACAATGTTTAAAATTCAGTTGTTATCTATATTAAGACAACCAATATTTTAAAACTTACTGTTTTTGTTCAGATCCCAGAAGGCACAGATGGGATGATGCACTTCCTATATTAACATAAGAATAAACATGTGAAATTGTGTTTAAATGTCATGATTTAAATATGGCAAAAGAATAAAAACACAGAGTTTCACAGAGAAATAGATTAGCGTTAACATGCCAATATAACCCCAAAAATGTCAGGCAATTCAGGGGGATCTTCTCTCCCACAGAGACTTCAAGAGAAAATCTACTCTAACCTCATGAGGAATCATACTACGTACCCATTTATCTGTAGGTTACTACAAATGTCCCATCATTAAATATACTGATTCTACTCTCATTTTTAGCATTTAGCAAAGCTCTTGAAACTACAATTCTACACCATCTTCAAAATTCTCCTTTATGTCTGGGTATTTACATAAACAAATTGAAAACAAGGACTTGATGTAGACTGATGTCCACAGCAGCATTATTCACAAGAGCCAAAAAGTAGAAGCAACCCAAGCATCTATTGATGGAGAAATAAACAAAATCTGGTATATATATACAATGAAATACTGCCCAGCCTTAAAAAGGAAGACAATTCTGACAGATGCTACAGCATGAAAGAATCTTGAAGACACTGTGCTGTGAAATAAGCCAGTCACAAAGGACAAATACTGTATGTTTCCATTCGTATGAGGTACTTAAAGTAGTGAAATTAAGAGATATAAAATAGAATTGTGGTTGCCGCTGGGCGTGGTGGCTCAAGCCTGTAATCCCAGCACTTTGGGAGGCTGAAGCGGGTGGATCACGAGGTCAAGAGATCGAGACCATCCTGGTCAACATGGTGAAACCCCGGCTCTACTAAAAATACAAAACATTAGCTGGGCATGGTGGCACGTGCCTGTAATCCCAGCTACTGAGGAGGTTGAGGCAAGAGAATTGCTTGAGCCCAAGAGGCGGAGGTTGCGGTGAGCCGAAACCGCGCCACTGCACTCAAGCCTGGGTAACAAGAGCGAAATGTCTCAAAACAAACAAACAAACAAACAAAGAATTGTGGTTGCCAGGTGCTATCAAAAGGAGAGAACAGGGCAAGGGTATTTAACGGGAGGAGAGTTTCAGCTGGATAGACAGATGGTGGTGATGGCTGCATAACAAGGTGAAGACACTTAATGCTATTGAACTGTACACTTTAAAATGATTAAGATGATACATTTTGTATCATGTATGTTTCACAATTTAAAAAATATCTTCCCTTATGAATTAAGGGGCTGAAACAAAGGAGGCCAAAGTGTTAAACAAGGAAGTCTAAGATGGTTCGTGACAAAGGAGGCTAGATCTTAGGTGACTTGGTTTTCAATCCTCAGCCCACTCATTTCCTGCCTGCCTTCCTGCCTATCTAACAAATGCCAGAATCATGAGGAGGGCCCTCTAGAAAAGTGAGAAAAACCTGTTCTTGGGCCATCTGGGACAGCAAGAATTCCCATCTAATTTTATCAAACAGATGACAAGGGTAATGAAGCAACAAGAAAAGCAACTTTTGCAAATACTAAATAACTGCTAACTCTCAAAAAATAAATCCACCCTCCCCTGTTTTTCCTTGGCTTTCCCAGTTGCAGTTATCTTTGCAAATATACACAGAAATAGAAAGAAACAACCAAAACCTCTATTGGCAGAATTGTGCAACTACATCTGCATTTAATTTATTTCAAGCAATATATATTGTATCTTAAAAACAGAAGCCCTTTTCTTCACTTCCCTTCTCTTTCTGATTATTGAGTCCTAGATAAGACTAACGTCTCCAGCTGCTTCAATTTACTGTGACTTTAAAGCACTACCTGACTAGGTTCTCTCTTTATGGAAAACTGTGCGCTACCCCCCAAAAAGGGTTAGTTACTTTTTAATATGTAGGAAAAAAAGCCCCCACTAGTTTCTGAAATAGTCTACCGCTGTCCAAACGCTACTGGAAGCATTTTCTTACCTGAGTACTCGTATGTTTGATTTTTATTTTAACAGGATCCTTCAGATTCTGGATAGTAATGTTTCCAATACTGCACGCCATCACATAACTCACTAAGGGTTTTCTTTGGGGTCCAACATCCTTTGAAAGGAAAAAAAATCATGTGTCTCAGTCAGAAGTACACACTTTTATTTTACTTTGGTGCTCCAAAATAAGCAAACTGTCAGCAATTTTTACACTTAAGATCTTCAGGTCTCGAACATCCTGTTTATCACATCAAGTTGCTGGCTTTCCTGAAGGAGCTTTGTTATTTTCCTTATTATAATAAATACATTGAGGGAACACTGGGAGCCAATATTGTAAGATTGTGTTCATAAAACTGCATTCTTGATTGTGGTGACTGATGTCAGCCAATTAACATCTGAAACAATGCAGACTCATAAATAATATAAACTCATAAAAAGCTGTGAAACAATGAGATCATTTCCCTACTCTAGAAAATAGATGAAGTTGTTTTCTTTCAGAGAAGTATGAATATGATGTGAAAAATAAAAAGCAATTCATCTTTCACATCCATGCCAACAGCCTAACATGTTTACTAATTTATGCCTAAAAGTAATACTGAATTCAAGGCCCATCCAGGACTTCTATCTTCTTCTCTGATTAAATACTTGCCAGCATAAGCAGATTTCACTTAATTAATAAGGTTATCAGAAAATCAAATCTGTTACATAAAATGGTTTGGACCAATAAGCTTTCTCTCCAGCAAGCTCATCTCTATTTTTTTCTTTCCCTTGTATTTCTTGTCCAAATCTACAACATAGCTTACAAATCAGTTGTTTTGAAATAATTACAGGATTTCTTAAATTCCAAATAAAACTCAGCATCCAGAATATAGCTTTTTTTTTATTTTGTATGATGGTCACTGTTAATAAAATCAGCTACTAGCTGGTGATACCCAGCCTTTCAGTAAAACACACAAAAACCCCATTGTATCTTGCCCACTACGATAGGGAAGCACCACAGAACCCTTAAAGTTTTTTTTTTTCATTCTACTTTAAATTTACTTTAACATTTATATATGCTAATATATACGATATGCAATATATATATCTATAACATATATATATAACATATGCTTCCTTTTTTTTTTTTTTAAGAGATGGGTCTCACTGTGTTGGCCTGATTGTTCTTGAACTCAGCCTCACGCAATCCTCCCTCCTCTGCCTACCAAAGTGCTAGGATTACAGGCAAGAGCCACCTCACCTGCCCAGATATGCTTCCTAAGAACAACTTTGGTAGGGAAATACCAAAGGAGAAGGAAACAATGACTCAAAACAATGACAGATCCTTGCAAATCTAAGAGTTGTCTGCAACCCTTTCCACAGGGCTTCTGTACCATTCACATTTTGTGGCACCTATTTCATTTTTATATTGGTTTTAAGATAACATTGTCATACACTTCAAATTGCCATAATTTTAACAAATGCAGTTGTAAATGTTATAGCTATTAAATCTTTCAGGGTAAATTAAACATGTTCTTATATAAAATGCATAAATTGTATTTATATACATCACAAAATTTGTATAGAGATGGTTCCTAAAACATTTGTTGATAAAATTTTTTAATTTTTGATTTAATTACTGTCAAGGATTCCATGGTATTCTTTTTCCTTGACTATATCTCTACTTGGCCATTCCTCTACAAAGGCAGATCTAATAAAATCAATTCCCTGGCCTTGAGACTTGCTATTTTCTCTTATATAAGTCACATTGTTCAATATGCACTGATACCTTGAATTTAATAGATGGTTTTTTGGGGTTTTTTTTTTTTTTGTAAATTTGTGGAAAACCACTCTAGATCAGGTTATACTTGCAAAGGCAAACAGAGGTCACCAGTGTTTGCTGGCAGTTGGTCTTCTAGTATCTAGAAATGATGCCAATAAAAATAATAATATGTGCTTAGCACAATGCCATCCAACTCTGCGGATATGTGAAGACCAAAGTTCACTTGAAATACTAATGGGAAAACTGATTAAAGCCAAGAATGCTGCTCATTATGTAAAGAGTGTTTCCTGCTGAATTAAAAAAAAAAAAAAAACACCTTTCCTTTGGTGTGCGATTTATTTTAAAGGCCTAAATGATTGAAGAGCATAAAATATTTAATGAACGTAATAATAAAGTCATTTATTCACTAATTCAGCTTCTAATTTTTTAATGCAGACCTTAGCCTAATACTTGAATTACTTTAAAAACTGAAATACATACAACCTGTTAATAAGCATATTATCTGAAATAAAATATTTAAACAATTATATAAAAAATTTTCATTTTTGAAAACACAGTAAATTTTTCTAAACCTCCTGATATATTTCAAAGGATTCTAAACTTTTGTTTTTTTTTGCCTTTGAGCAAAGAAACTTCATTTGCAATTGAAAAATTATCATTTAATGAATGTGTTTACCTGGAAAAGTCCAGTTTTGTTGAAGAAAGTAAACTGTGCTCTTCTAACTAATGCAGAATCTTCCTGACTTAAATTCTCAAGTAAGTTTGGAGGCAAGATTACAGACGCCAGAGGATCCACTTGTCCACTCTCAAAATCCATCTGTCACACACACAGAGATATACTGGTCAAGTAATCACAATTAAATGGTGATAATAACGTTATTCCACATGCATAGTTAGGCAAGTGAACAATTGCAAGTTCAAGTTAGTCAGGACCAGGATTTCCCTTTGTATCTACAGTAGTCACGGTAACTCCTGGATAAACCCCTACAGACAGAGCTGTAGATCTCATTTGGGTTTTACATGTGTGTCAAAGGAGAAAATGCATTGATTTTAACAAAGACATGGGGAGAAATCTATAAATCAGTCAACATTTTCAAGTATAAGAATTAGATTTACCAGCAGCAGATTTTGAGGTTTTCTCAAAACACGTAGTGAAAGATAACAACTATGGGAGGAAGAGGCGAGGGAGAGAGAAAGAGACTGAAGTTAACTTGTTGATTTCAGACTGCATTAAAATTTTATGAATACTCTCGGATAGCATTTTTCCTGAAACCATAGCTCAAGGCCAAAGAATGCTTTCTTGCGAACAGTCTTGGAATGAGAGTGAGGTTGACTGAGTTTTTCCTCTTAAAATGTGAAAGAGAATTATCCAAAAGAGCCTCTAGTCTAATGGAGGAAAAAAGTCTTGCCTGTATCCTGCTTTCAGGACTTTTATATTTTCAGTTTGTTCTATCTCCACAGTTAAAGAAATAGTACACTTCACATATTATACTCTTCTAGGTCAAGAACAATGCTTCATTCATTTTGTTTGCTCTGATGGCTAATATTGTCTGGCATGCAGTAGGGACTTGAAAATTCTTTGCTTATGTGTCACTTGAACACGTTGAAAAGATTCTCCATTAATCTAGCCCCTGCGTACGTGTCTAGGCTTTCTGTCACCTGCTAACCCAGACTTCTACATCACGTGTTCTCAAAGCGTGATACTTAGACCAGCAATGTCTAAAGAACTTGCTAAAAGTACAAATTTGGGGGGCCTACCTAGGACCTATTAAATTAGAAACTCCTGGAGTAGGTCCCAGAAATCTGTTTTAACAAGTCCTCCAGAAAATTCTTTTTTTTTTTCCAGAGTCTCACTCTGTTGCCCAGGCTGGAGTACAGTCACATGATCTCGGCTCACTGAAACCTCTGCCTCCCAGGTTTAAGTGATTCTCATGTGTCAACCTCCCAAGTAGCTGGAATTACAGGCATGCACCACTATGCCCAGCTAACTTTTTTCGTGTTTTTAGTAGAGATAGGGTTTCAGCATGTTGGCCAGGCTGGTCTCGAACTCCTGGCCTCAAGTGATCCACCCACCCTGGCCTCCCAAAGTGCTGGGAATACAGGCATGAGCCATCAGACCCAGCCTCCTCCAGAAGATTCTACTATTCAGTTTGAGAACCACTGGCAAAGAGAATGCACTATGCTTCTTTTCACTTTGGGGCCCTTAATAAAGCTCTTTCCTCTAACTGAACTGATCCTCACCCCAAGTATAGTGTTCTCTACTCATGCTTAGCTGCAGTAACCCCTCTTGTAGAAGGTAAGCAGATCACCTCTGTCACCCAGGTTATGAAAGTATACCCACTGAGCTTCCACAATACCTTATGGCTACTGCTCTAGTTAAACTTAACCAACATTCAGACCTGCTTGTCACCTGGTGGACCAAGATCTCCTTGAAGCAGCAACTGCTAAGTGATCAGAAAGTTTTTATATATCTAAGTAATTAATTAAAATTAAAGAAACCACTGGCTCATTACCTGGAAATATGATTCGTTATTGCTTGGAAGACCAATGCTAAAATTTGAAATTGCATTTGTCCCTGGTAACAGGGATGATACGCCAAGAGCCAAATTCTGAGTTGTAATATTCACATGCGATGTATTATCTAGGTCTATCTTGAAGGCCAATTCATCAATTATTTTTAAAGCTCTAAATAAATGACAAAAATACCAGTGTTAAGTAATACAATATTTTAGGTACTTAAACATACATGTTTTTCTTTGTTGCAAAATATAAACCAAATAAAATTGTTTTTGGATTTTCTGATCTTAACATGAACACCCATAAAATTACCCCAGACCACAGTGATATCTGTTAAAACATGGAATCACAGGGATGGATATATCCTCAAGAGAAATATCTGCTTTAAGGAAAATCAACAATTAAATCATCCTGAACAAATACTGTTTTTCATTTAAAAACAAATTTTAAAAGCCTCTCTTTCCTCACATGACAAAGTATCCTCCCTACCTTACGGCTTATCAAGAATCAAAGGAAACAATGCGATAAAAGTGTTTTGTGAACTGCATGACACTGTAAGAATGTTTATATTGTTATCATGTAGATTAAGTGAGAAAATACATTTTTATCAAGTATAAAATTTTCTTCAGAGAAATGCAGAAGGGAAGGAAATAAAAAACAGTAAACATTTTAATAATAATTTATTAAGTGAAGCAATTAAATACAAACTGAATCATATAAATGTAGGTATATTTTCATCGTTCCCAGCATGTTCATTTCAGAGGGCCAACAAGCATGAGGCTGTGGCTGTCAGTGGCATCGTTCACAGTATCGTGGACTTATGATGACCAGGTATGCATAACTCTACTGGCCAACTAAATTTAGAATTTTAGAATTTTTAAATGAAATTTAGAACTTCCAAATAAAAAATGAAATACGGATTATGTTTTCTAGGGCTATAGATATGGCAAATTATATTTCTCAAAAAACACACACACACACACACACACACACAACTTTTAAGTTCATGTTGTCAATGACCTTGCTTAACTATTAATGACTATTAATACATCTTGCAGAGATTTGAATTTTGAAGTCTGGGCACAAAGTGTTTAGATAGGTGAGAAATTATGTAACATCACATTTATCCAATAAAATTTACTCTCCAGAAAAAAAAAAATACTTACTCAGATGAAGACTCAAGTAAGTCACTGTCTGAACTGCTTAAGATATTAGAAAATATATTCATTAGAGTTGAGCCAAGTGTTATATCAATGTTTTCTTCTTTATTCACAATTCTTTTGACTTGTTCCACAATGTTGACAATATTGGCTGAGGTTAAGTTCTGCCCATCAGCAGTAGAATTTAAAATCTGGTTAGCGACTTCATTTGCTTCAACTAAAAAAACGGCAGGAAAAAAAAAAAAACACTAAGTTTTATCTGCATATTTTGAGCATTTCCAGGAATTCAAAGAAGAGTGTAATATTTTACTTTACAGTTGAAGCAAGAAAGTGAGATGTTCCTGTTTATACCTCATCCCCATCTTCACAAGGCAATATTTCTTTCTATGAAGAGACTAACTTCTCTCTTTAGTAAGATGCACATAACTTGGAGGGATGAATGATCACACAAAGTTCTAAGAGAAACGTCCCCAGAATCAATGAATAAGTATATATTTGCTACTTAATACAAACTACAAAATGTTGACATGAATACCAATTTATACGTTAGTTTTGTCTTCTCTAGATTTTCCTTACTATGTTTAATCTCCTACAGAACAGAAAGTTAAAATGAAAATAAAAAGTATTTTCTATCTTAAGTAAAACAATCGTTTGCCTTTTAATATGAAAACAGTATCATATAGCAGAAGAATATGCCTGAAGACAATGAAAACCATGAAGCACAAAGTCATTTTATTTTATCCTTGAAAAATAAGGGAAAATTGCTCACTTACTTAAACAGTTGGAGATATCAACAGGTCCCCAGTAGGCTTCAGATAAGTTGGAAGCATTGTAATAACTATGAAACAAAATAGATGTTTTAAACATTTTATATAACTGATATTGTTATTTTTACTACTTAAAGGGATTTGTATATAATGTATACATTTATTACAATATGATCAATGGACAAGCTTCCCTTTAAGACACTGAACTTCTCACTCTGCTTCCAATTTAATTTTCTCTGTTTATCTCCGTACCTGTTCATATATCTATGTTCCCCTAGCTCCCTAACCCATTTCTGTTTATCGCCCTCTACATACAATGTTCCCAAATTCTCTCCACTTCTCTACCTCATTCTTCTTAGCCTTCCTTATTCTCTCCTCTCTCACCCCAGTTTGTTTTTCCATTTGCACTATTTCCTTCTACAACTTTTCTTTTCCTGCTTTTCTATAAATAATATTAGAACTGAAAAAAATAGTTAACAACTTTTGGGATTTGCCTTGATTTCTAGGTAAGTTTCCTTTGAAAATAAAACTGTAATGCATTGAAATAAATCTCATGCTAAAAATTCTTATGGGAAAAAAATCAGTAGCTTACCTCTTGGAAACAAAATACTAGCAATATCCTAACCTGAGATCCATTGGCCAAGTACTGATTTAAGAACTTTACAAGTAAAATTGGATTTTGAGTTCATATAACTCTGCAAAGCAGATTATAATCCCCATCTTATAGAAAATAATTTGGAATTTGATAAATCAATGAATTGTCCATCTCACAACCAGGAAGAGAATGAGTCACATTTCAAACTCAAGTCCATGAATCTCTGAAGTTCCCTTCTTTCCTCCCTACAAAGCGTCAAACACAGCAGTATTTACAATATGCAAAGTATTTATGCTTAGGCAGTTTCCATTTCTGACTTTCCCCCCAAAAAAAGTCTAATTGAGAGTGAGTGGGTGGAGAAATGGATTTGACTTGCTATTCCATGAATCCCTGCTATTGTCTTGTCTCTGAGGTTTCTGTTAAATATTTAGAGAAAATCTATACCCTGATAGTTTCCATCAGCAGACTGGATCTTGTCTTTATTTCTACCCCAATCTGGATCTTGTCTTTATTTCTTCTTTGCCTCCTTTCCCCATTCCAACAATAATCAGTACCAATTAAAAAGTTTCAGAATTCCAGATGCACATTCCAGGGCTAGGCTAGAGGAACAAGCTACTTTGGGCTCTCGTGCTACCCACTGGCTTCTAAATTCTTCAATGTTTCTTTGAGAGGGCTTGATTAGCATGTGGCTAGGAGGAAAACACTGCCTTTCTGAGTCACCAACTTATGTTATCTTTACTCCCCAGGAATGAATGAAACAGGCATACATAGATTCCTGCCCTTCTTTGCAATCAATATAATGCCTGGGAACTACGGTGCTGCACGTATAACCCTGGGAAGGTTGATAACGTGGAGCCTTGCTGACAAAAGTCAGTGAAAATATTACCATATCCGTAAAACATTAAAGCCAGGCTTTTCTGGACAATCAAGAGAGTATTCAGAAGGAATGATAGATGGCCAGAAGAAGCCTTTGGGTTCCTCCACGGCAGGACATGAACCTATATGAAAATAAGAAACAGCATGAGAAATATTCACCTATTTTTTAATGTTAGAAATTAGAGGTGCAGGATGAAAGCAAAATGGCAATACTGGTAATTAGGTATTCATTTAATGTAATACCAAAATATCAGTGTTTATGTTCAGATTTGTTAAAAAATAGAAGTTAGAAAAAACATTAACATTTAATACATTTCAAAACCAAAAATTATTACATCAGACAAAACCATTAAGAAACAGTTATATAAGTATAAACATGAAACATACATTATCTTTCTAATCATTAGCAGATACTAGTTTTATTAAAAGAAACACTACAGAGAAGGGAAGCAATCCTAAAAAATTCAAAACGTAATTCGATTTTTTTCAAATAGGAAAGCCTACAAATGATGCCTCGATAGTGTCATCTTTGAGTTGTGGGGCTATTTTATGGAAAATGTTCCAGCTGCTCTGACAGCCTTTCCTACCTGGAAGCTTACTAAGGGGACCACAAGAAGGAACCTGCGAACCAACACCACACCCTCAGCCTTCTTTATCCTCAAATCATCTGGCTTTTTGTTAGACAACTCTCGAAGTAAGCCCCCTGACATCAATCATTCAGATTTTATATTTTAAAGAATATCAAAGTAACAGCAATATATCAACAACAATAAACTCCTGTATTTTGGTGAACATTAGCGAGTTACATCAGTTTACTGGGAACCGGTCCTATCATCCATCACCAACTGAAAATTCAAATCACTTTCCAATGTATACCATGAGCTTTAAAACTGTCAGGTTTTAGCTTTTTATTTTTCCATTAGTAGAAATACTTATCCGCAGACTCACTTGCAGAAAAACAATAACATGGATAATTTAAATGGTTTAAATTAAACGTCTAGGTATACAGAGAGAGTGGTGTTGAGCTTTCCCAGCCTATGAGGAAAGAGATGCGCTGGTCCTCCCAGGGTTCTCCAGTCACAGATAAACTACCATTTGTTAGGCTCTTTCTCTGTGAAAGCCCCTATAGGTGAAAGGTTAGCAGGCTGCATTCTCCCTCTCTCCAAAAAGCCCCATTTGTTAGGAAGTATTTTCCCATACAGACTCAGAAATGGTTTATCATCATGATTAGTATTATTTGCATTCATTCATCTCTATGAGGCCTTTGTAAATGTGTACATCAACACAACAGAGATGGGTGGCTCCTCACAGAAGTGGAGATGCCTGCCTCTTTACTACACTATGATTCTGGCCTTAGTCACAATCGCCCTCTTCAAGGCTGAGCAACGCTTGCCTCTCTCAATTCAACCTCCTGAGTTTTCTTTTCTTGTGATCTCTATTAATGTACCTAATCATAGTATAATTGTAAACATAGAATAACATTAGAACAATTGCTTTTTGTTATCCAATTTGCAAATATTTGCTTTCCTAAAATAAAACTCATCCAGACTCATTCATTCATTTATTCAGCAAGTGTTCAAGTTCCAGGGAATGTGCTGGGTTCTGGACTGTGGTCTTTTGATGTGTTTGATGATCTAGGCATCTGGACAACATGAAGTAGAGGCTCAAAGGCAGTGATGTCTATACTCAATGTCAGAAAAGGTTCCACAGAAGAAGTGGCTTAGGAGCTATCTTTAAAAATACACAGGTAATAATGAGGCTGACGGTAGGAGTGAAGAAGAACAGTGTGGGCAAAGATACAGAAAGGCCGGGTAAAGGAGCACAGGCTCTTTGTGGAAGTACAAGCAGTGCCACATGTGTGGTTAGAGCTTAGGAGGTGAACAATCTCCAGGAGAGGCTTGTTTCTAGGTTCAACAGAACCCCCAGATTCCTGACCTACTACTAATAGAGACAGAGAACATAAGAGAAGGAGTCATCTTCTATTTGTTTTTTGAGATAGGGTCTCGTTCTGTGGCCGAGGCTGGAGTAGAGTGGCATGAGCATGGCTGACTGCAGCCTTGACCTCCCAAGCTCAAGCGATCCTCCTACCTCAGCCCCACCTAGTAGCTGGGACTACAGGTACGCACCACAACACCCTACTAATTTTTTAATTTTCCATAGATTGAGTCTCCCTGTGTTGTCCAGGCTAGTCTCAAATTCCTGGGCTCAAGTGATCCTCCCACCTTTGCCTCCCAAAGTGCTGTGATTATAGGCATGAGCCACCATGCCCAGCAGGAGATGTTTTATAACAGGAAATATCCTTAAGATTTATCTCATTAGAGTTCCCATATCCACATCTATACACTCTTTTTATTCCTGAAGTTGACACCAATGATGATCAAGATTATTCTGGCATTTTGTACATATTGTTAGTTTTTCAAAATATGTCCCTATAGTAAAGTATAAACGTTCATCTCCCTCCTTCATTTTCTTGGATTCATAAGTGCTGTGCTGATTTTTTTTTTTTTTTTTTTTGTTTTTTTTTTTTTTTTTTTTTTTTTTTGCTATGTCACACATTTGTTAATTTGCATTGTGTTGAACGCTGACTGTTGAAAGTGATATTTTTACATAAAGAAAGAATATTCCTGTTGTTTTAATT